CAAACCTGCTGTGCTCACTCTGCTAAGTGGAGCTGTGTAGTACAGCTGCACATGGCCCATCAGCTCCAGGCAGGACTGTCCAGGATGCAACAAAACTTCCTAGAATGTTCCTAGTTCCCATGGGAGGTCATTCTCCAGAAATTCCTAATTCAGGTGGGTTAGTGCTTTTATTAGGGTGGAGAAAAGTGCTTTGTGACTTTCAGATTCTCAGCTACCTGGAGCCCTGAGTGCTAGAGAGTCTACATCAGTCCTTTCCCTCAGACAGGCTCCCCAAACAAAGAAGCCATAGTTGGAAAATACAGAAATCTGTATCAAGGAATATCTAGGAAACAGTTCCAGATGGGTTAGCACAGCAGCAGCACCACAGGCATGCATGGAGGTTAGGAGGATAAAGCTGATGCCTACAGCTATGAAAGACTGAATATTTTCAAGCATCTGTTGTAGACTAGAGACGGAAGATAAACTTAGCAGATATCTAAGAAGAGTGATGTGTAACTGGAATCCAAAACTAACAATGCTGAAAATGTTTTTTTGCAGAAGTCAACATCTATATGGATCTCAGTTGCAAATAAAAGCTTTTGCTTGACTGACTACAGGAAAACAACTGTCAAAAAAGGGGATTTTTTTTTCCTTTTGCTAGGCAACAAAACAGATTCCTTCCACATCAAAAGCTCCAATTCCTAAGAAACAAAATAAAACAAATAAGAAAACCAAAACAAAAGAAACCTCCACATATCATTAATCAGCAATGATGGGCAGAAGAGTACTGCTGATGTCAATATGATGGCACTCTAGCTCAGAACATTCCTCTGCTAGAAACTTCCAGAAGTCAAGGCATTATATTTAAACCATCCAGATTTGCCTCTTTATAATCTTGTAACCGTAAATGAGATTGATTTGGTGAGGAGAAATTATTCCAGGATCAGCAGTAAGGATGACATATTCACAGAAACATCCAGCTAATTCCAAGAATGGACTTGATATTTAACTATCTACAGAACAGCTGCGTGCTGATACAGAGGTGAAGTTTTTGCCCCTTACACCCAGTGGCCTCACGAGTCTCTGAGGCACCATGGCAGTGATGCTCAGGGTACATCACTCCTTCCTTCCTTCCTTGCAGCAGAATATATGGTACTGGCCATGGCAGCCAAACTCACAGCCACAAAGGACTCTGCTAAGTCCTCAGGTTGTCACCACAGGCAAGGCGACACTAGAATGAAAGGGTGACAGTAAGACATGGCACTAGAATGAAAGGGTGACAGTAAGACACGGCCTTCTTTGACCCACTGACTTAGGAGGCATGGCACAAGTACCCAGTATTTTCTCATGTATCTTTGGGGATAGTCCTGCAATGAGGCTGCTCCAGAAAAGAAGGGGTAATTTACAAATTCTTCCTGGCCTCAATTATACACTCTTTCTGAATATATTTTCAATTGCAACAGTAAAGACAGCCAGTACAACAGTAAATACAACCAGTATCCACCAAAAGATGCTCCTGACAAAAGAGATGCAACTAATGAAATGAGTCTGAAAACAAAAACTGCATTGCCACAGAAGATCAGGGTAGGCAGGGAAAGCTGATGCAAACTGAGCAGGTGACCACAGCACCTTCAGATCAGGGTCAGTGAAAAGAATACATTGACCTGCAGAAGAATTAGAGTGCCTTAACAATAAAGTAAAAATAGGAATTCCTTGGATCAGTCATGTCATTTTATAATCATATTAAGCTGCTCTGGCTGTAGTCCTTGAGCATGCCACAACATCTGATAAAGCACTGGCCCAATGGCACTGCTTGCAGTATGACTGCACCAGCTCAATCTCCTCAGTCATTCTGAAGGCTGTTTTTCTATTCTACTAAATACGTGCTTAGCAAACGCATAACAAGACAATCAAGAGCACATAGACAACAACAGTTCTTTCCCCAGTTTCTCATCACTTTTCCTTAACCAGCTCTATGAAGTAATTAATACAGAAAACACATCCCCACAGCTCCAATCAACACCTTCTGAACACCTGCCTAGGAATAACACAAGGTTTGATCCAGGGGAATTTCACTTCATTGGGCTTACAGGTGCAGAGCAATTCAATAAAGCCCCTTTAATTAACCAACATGAGGGATAGCATCAGCTTCAGGGTGGATAATTAATGAAAAGCTGCTAACCTAGTAATAGGTCTCAGCACGCCTGCCCATTTTTGTCCAGCTTCAGATACATGCTTTGTTAAGGAGGAGAACAATCTGTGTTTTTTCCCCAAGGAGTTTACAGAATGCTGGCTTTGGTACACTACAGAAGCCAAAGAGGATCTCCAGATCACACAGGCCAGGATTGTATTTGCATCTTACTGAAGCCATTTTGAAGGACCTTAACCTAATCTCTTTGATTAATGCTGACTTCAAAGCAGTGCCTGCAATCCTCTTCCCTAACTTGTCTAACACTAGCCAAAGTCTGGCAAGCTGTCCCTCCTCAGCTAACAACAGCTCCAGGTGTTGGAAGGGCGGGGGGAATGGGGAGGAAAGCTATTGCATGGGGAGCAAATACAGAACCCAACCAGGTGTGGACATGTCACCAGATGGTGACAAAGCAGCCACCTTTATTGCAGAGTTAGGGAGGGCATCCCCTGAAGAAAGAGCATGTATTTATTTATGCAGTTGGTTTGAGGGGGTTAAAGTGGCACATTAATCCTTGTGACTCCCAAATTATCTGTGATCATTCAAACTTTATGGAAGTTTTCAAGTGATAAACAGACTAGCATTTTTTTAGGCTGGAAAGGACACTCTTCTGCAAAACTGCAAGATCAACAGGCAGTAGTTAAACATAAGAAAATTAATTCAAAACAGAGGTTTAAAAAAAATTATCCAAAGTAATTTTCTAAAACTAAAATTAACTTCTGAGGCTCATTGATACAGGATGCTATAGAGGGCAATGTAGCAAGCAAAAGGAAACAAAATAAGCTCATGGAAAACAGACCAAGCATATCTATTAAGACAGGAACCACCTCTGTCTCAGGAAGTAACCCAACAGCAAAATACCTAAACTAAGGAGAGCCACTGGTGAGAGATCCCTTGCGTAACCCCACGCACTTCACATGCTATTGCCCTACACTTAAGCAACTTCCAAAAAGAGGATGCAAGGCAAATATGAAAGTCTCAGGAAGAATTCTGTCACTCAGCCTTGGGGTCTCTAAAAACACAGAAACAATGTATGTTCCAATTCATTCAAGATTACTCCCATCTTCTGAGAAAAATCAAACATTTGCATGTTTGAACACAACAGAACATACTGGGTTAAAAAGTGAGGAAAAATTCCAAGTTCATCTGTCCCAACTTCCCATTGTTGTTGTTAGTTAGGTATTTAAACTTGCTCCATTTGCAATGTTTTGTTAAATCAGAGTATTCAGCTTCTACCGATGAAAACCTGATTTTAAAAATCAGTCCAAGCTCACTCAACACAAAAATCGAGTACCATTTCTGGTGCTGAGATTATTTTTTGGGAACAAAACACAAAATATCACATGATTATATAACATCTGTATCATTAAATTCTTTCTTTTTTTCTTTCTTTTTTTAATCCATCTCCTCTTTAACAGACTGCTGTGACATATACCCTCTACAAATACTAAACTAGTACTGCCATCACGATTTCTGTCGTTTTTAAGCAAAGAAAAAGTCACGTTTATTTTGTAGTAGCAATAGTTTCTTTTTTATTTTTAATATACTTTAGGAAACAATATACAAAGCTGAGCTTTTCCACCATTTTCAAACGGTGAGTTGCTCCAATTACACAAATTCAGCGTTTTGTGATGGTTAAGAACAGCAGTCAGCACCAGACTTAAACAGTTAGCTACAACACAAACATCCTTCGAAATGAAATGTCATAATATCAAGACAGGTAAACCAGGAGTTAACATATGACAACTGTTGGGGAGGTGTCTTCAATCATCCTTGTTGAATTTTATATTTCCTTAAATATTTTATACATATTTTCCTGTTTACAAGTTTTAAACAAAACCTCCCTTGAGGAATTATTTAAGTACAAAAATGTTCAACAAGAACAGTTCTAATAAAGAATCCCCAAAAAGACCAAATTTCAATGTGTTGACCAAAGGAAATGAAAACCAGTGTTTCTTTGCTTTAACATGTTTATTACAACAGATACAATTCACATCTGACTAGCTTTTTTTTTCCTCTTTCCCCTCCCACAACCATGTTAACATGTTCATTGGGCTATTTCCTTATATTTGAGCAAGTAATGTACTTTCAGCACACATGCCCAGCAGTACTCTAAGTCCATTCTTACAGGGTGCAAATGGAAATACGTTTCAATAATTTATACAAACAAGTGGGTTATGCTCAATCACTGCAATTTTAAGCTACTGTACACAGGAATGAAAAGATTATAGAAAAAGTGCCATAGCAACAGTGCCTTAAGAAAAGAGAAAATTAGAAGCATTAAAAAGCTGATAAAATCAGATTTAGGATTTCACGGGGAAATGGAACACAGAAGATGAAAAACATTTCTCTGTAAAACAGAAATGGAGAAGCACTGCTCTCGACTCGGTGCAAGTGTGGAAACAGTTGTTTCGTGGTATTTTGTACATCGCCCAAACTGTTGCAGCCTTAGACACAAATCGCCTGGCGCTTGCATTGAATTTTAGGAAATGAAAAATTTCTGAATGATAAATTAACTAAAAAAAAAAAAAAAAGAAAAAAAAAGAAAAAAAAAAGAAAGGAAAAAAAAAAAAGAAAGCTAATTTTGCAGACAGGTTTACATGTAAGAGGCTAGGTATTTAGCCACCTCAGCATTGATTAGTTTTGGATGTCTAAGCTCTGATACACATGGCTTCCCATGGCTTCACTCTACAAAATATATTTACAACGTGAAGAATACATCTACAAGAAATCTACATTTCAAGGGTTTTACAAATCATTCTTGTATCTTTCCCCTGAATTTGACTCCCTCCTGTCCCCTTCCCCATGTCAACTTTTTTTTCTGCCCAGCTCAACGGTCCAAAGTCTACTCAAATGCAGCTCAAAAGTGTTAAGACTGGGCATCAGTTTAATAGTTCCTGTACTCAAAACCATGTGCAATTGTTTACAATTTTTCACACCATGAAGGAATTCTGATTCTTTAGCTTTTCAAGTTCTTTAATTTGTTGCCTCAAAAATAGTATCCTGCAAGAGAAAAGAAATTAATTAGTATAAACATTTCCACTGTACAGTTGTATTAAATAAGCATATACACAAGCACTTCTACAATTTCAGTGAGAGATACCAACTTCCCTAGCCCCATTAAAAAGATATCAAGTTAATTCCCAATCTGTTCAATAACCTACAGCCATGTGCAGATGCACAAAGGTTGGTGTGTTTGACACTTTAGTTCAAAAAATGAAGTTGCTGCATTTCTATTATGACTGATACACAGCTGTGTTTAGGTCTGCTCTCCACTTGAATGCAGCTACCAGAAAAAGCAGGACACTGGCAAATAAGCCAGGTAACTGAATAATCTGGACAACAGCATTATGCCTTTGTCATGCAGTTTTCCAGACTGTAAAACAGGCTAAAGTGCTCCTTTTTTTTTAAAAAAAAAAGCAAGTCTTCTCACTTGCTTTTTTAACAGTATTTGACTCTGTGGCTAATGGCAGTCGCTACTTACGGTAAGCTCCAATCTCAAAAACATTTGAAGCATTATTAAAGGGCATCTAAGATAAAAAGTTATAACTACACCTTGCTTAAAAATAAATTATATTGCTCACAACTTCTTATACATTTTTTTCTCTTCTTCTGAAGTGACATAACCAATTATCATGACTAACAAACATCTGGTTCACAGGAATTTTTAATGAACAGTTTGAACCACTTTTCATGATGCTGAAGTGTAATGCAAACATGTCAGTGAAATAAAATACTCAGGGAGAATTTAGGTTTTATATAAATATTCTATGAAGGCTGAAGCAACTTTAATAAATGCAGAAAAAGGAACGATTCAGCACTTTTGTGGAACACTTTACAAATATGTGCCCACTTCATTAAAAATGAATTTTCTACTGAAAAGTAGGTGGAAAATAATATACTAATATATAGAGAACCTGAAAAGATAACATTTAGCTTCAAGGCATGGGCATGTAAAATATATCAGTCAATGAAAAGTGCCTTTTTACATGCTGTCAGTTATGATTCAAACAATGTACGTGCTTTATCTAGAGATGAAGTTCCTTCTTGGAAGACATTTAAGTAGCACTCTTCTGTGCAGTACAGAAATAGTACCATCATTTAAATGTATTGATTTTGATAATCCCATCCTTTGCCAAAGCCTCCCCCATCAACTTGGTTACTTATGCCTTGTATTCCACATCTTTGGGATTGCAGCAAAAATAAAAGATACATGTTACTACAGGCTCAAAGTCATAATAATAATTAACCATTGATAGTTTAAGGATACAAAGTGTACAAGAAAGAAGGTGCTATTTAATGAGCTGAACAATGACATTTGACATGTTATTTCAGATCAAATGTGCAGAGACAAATGACACCTTAGGAAATTAAAACTGTAAGAAACCAAGCCATTCATTAAATATACTACAGAAGCTATAATTCATGTGGTCAAGTTATGAAATAAAGCTTCAGAAAAAAAGGGTGTTTTCAGTTCTTTATCAGGAAAGGTTTACAAATATATTATAGCCTGATTCTAAAGGATTGTTTCACTATCTGCCAAAATGCAAGAGCTTCTAGAATAAATGCAGCTATTTTAGCAGCATGCAACACAATTAAGGTGGCTTCAAACAGTAAGTCAGAAGGACTGTATTCAAATTATAGTGTGATTTAATAGTTGGGATAATACCATTGAAAGAGGAAACTGAGTATGAAAGCAGATACAAAATCAGGACCACTGCTGAATATTTTGAGCATGTATTTTATGATTACAGTTTCCAATCTTGCACAAAAGTATTCAAAAGCCTGGCTGTGTATCACTGAAGTGATACACAAGACACCTGCTATCACTGACTTACAGCACATCTACTTTGCTATAAGCAAACATCGATTCCTCCTTCACTTGTGATGTAAATTACACCTGTTCAAACTTGCTCTGGCTTTAGACCCACTGAATCTCTCATATAAACTGTAGTGTTTCAGATCAGGATAAACTGTGCAGATGTGTCCCTATGCAATCTATGCATTATGTATGGGCTGATACTCTAGAAGCATGCTGAAACACTGTGAGTTCATCAGTTCTTTGTAATGCACTAAGGTTTCTGCAAGGAGATTTCTTTTCTATCTCAGTTAATGTAGATACAGAAATTGCATATCTGGTTCTGTTTAGTGGACAGAAACAGGCAGAATGTACACAGGGAAGATAGTTTGCAAACATGGCAAGTACTAGTGTACTTACAGTCATCAGTAAACAGAACTCATGCAAAATACTGCAAAATTCTGAAGGCTGCATTAGAATGGAAGTTCTAATAACACCCTAAAAACTGAAGATAAGCACAGAGCACACACTTACCTTTGCTCACGCAAAGTTGCTTGAATTTCACATACTCGAACTAAAGACCTTAAATTCTTTAATTCAGTACAAATTTCTGACATATGCACACTTCCCATGTTATGGGCTTCCTCACGTAATCTTGATGCCTGCAAGGGTTAAACAAAGGTTAGGATTTTGAATCATGCATTTGAAACAACTGGCAATATCCAGAGAATTGCTGGATCAGTGTCTCTTGAAACAGCAAAGCACTCTAATTTCAAAAGGCAGTATTAAATCAGAAGCACATTAAGTTGTCTACAAAAGCCCATCCTGAATCACAAACAAACAACACTGCTGCCCAGAAACTGTCTAACCTACGCCTATGCTAAGGCAGGGCTAGTTTAGACCTTCTTGATCCTAAATGTTTACCCAACCATCTTGAAAGACAGTATGTGACAGGGCTTGGAGTTTCTAAAATAACCTTTTCAAGCAGTTCAGAGTCTCCAACCATTATTCCAATGGCAGACTTAAATTTCCCATCTAATTAAGCCGTAGTGACAAAAATAACTGAATGCCATCATCTTTCCAGCTACCTTTTACCTAACAGAAAAAAACTTTGCAACCCTCTTCAGGTGTTCTCTAACAGATCAACTCCATTACTTTAATAATCCCACTGAGTCAGCTGGAGATAAGCAGAAGTGTAAATTTAAAAAACACAACCTATCCAATTCCCAATTTGTGCATTTCTTGAAGTGTCATCACTGTACTGGATATGACTCCAGAGAACTCCTCAACAGCACCAGGGAGACCAGTGTAAGTATCTGAGGCCCTGTGTATTACACTGCAATAGGGAACAGGACTTCTTTCAAGTGGCACATGGAGAAATTGTTTCAAAATACAGCCTTCCCTGCAGCACTGCTGTTTAGCAATGTTATCCTCTGCTACACTGGGTCTGGCTGGGATGGAATTAATTCTCTTCATAGAGAAGAGAATGGTGCCACGTGGTCTGAAGCTGTGACCGAGCCAGTGCTGACAACATAATAAAGTTTTAGCTATTTCTAAGCAGACCCTACACAGCATCAAGGGTTTCTCCCTTTCTCTCTCTGATCTGCTCTCCACACAGCAAATACATTGTGGGAGGACAACAGGCAGGGAGGGACCAAAACTGGGACAGCTGACCCGAACTGACCTCAGGGATATTCCACACCATGTATGTGCCATGCTCAGCAATAAAACTGGGGGACAGTGTTCCAGGGCTGCCATGGCTCATGGACTGGCAGTGACTGCTTCTGCATCACTTTCCCTCACCCTCTTTTACTCTTTGACCTGCTTTTACCTCAACTCCCGAGTTTTCCCACTTTTGCCTAGTTGTTTACCCTATCCAACTGGGGCAGAGTGAGCAAGTGGCTGTGGTACTTAGCTGCCTACTGGGATTCATCCACATCTGCTTATGTACTTGTACATTTAATTTTCCTTCCCAAAAATAATGTTATTTAGCACAGGTCTTCATCAAACTTTTGCATTTCTCCAGCTCAAAGCAGCATTTTGTGCTGTAATTCCCTACATTAAAAGTTTTCATTTCTGGAGTTTATTAACATCCAGGAGTACCCTGGTGTCCAGTAGGATATAACTGCCCATGTCTTCTCTGCACAACTCCAGTTACTGAATTGTTTCTCAGTTTCCCATGTTAAGTGCTTTTTATGAGTTCTGTGAGGTAACTGCTGTAATTCAAGAATGTTTTAGCTATTAACTACTGCACAGCACATTTCTTCAAGTCCAACTGCTTTAGCACATACCTGTCCTGACTCTTCTAATTTATTTACATATTTATTTTTCAGTTTATTCTGGCATGTGTTCTTCTGCCTTAAGTTCAAATTACACTATATATCTGGCAGCTATCTGAAGAAAGCAGGGCACTGGATTTTAGTCTCTCCACTTTGTTCTATCTTATCTTCTTCACTATGTACTGCACCTATACTTTCATTCACTTTTATATCAAATATCTCACTCAAATGCCTCAAGTGCTACTATTCAAAACTGGTCTATAAACAACAACACCATGTGAAGTCATCTGAAATAGCAGACAGGACAATGCAGCATGTAGCACAAAGGGAGAACTACCCAACTGAGTACATGACTGCCTAGCATTAGCTGAGTTTTTTGATCTCTTTATTAACAACAAGGGAAAAAGACCCCAAAACCTATGCACTGCATAAATCTGCTTCCTATATTAAGATACTTATGAATTCAGTACACCATGAAAATAATACTTTCAAAACTACAGACCAAGGCCATAGGTAAGTGCCTGTGCTACACCATTTCCTTCAAGACACTCCACAGCAATGCCTCAGTGTTTGACTCAGTACAGGCTGGTAATTTCTTAAAATCAACTTCAACAAATCAGTGAAAAGAAGCAGGAATCCTAACAGGGTCTTAGTTCAGGTTGTGCTTGTGAGAGTCATCTTGCAAGTTACTACCCAAAAGCCTCCAGTGTAGAATTGTGCCAGCATGCAACAACTCTTTAAAACACCTAAGTAAACTGGGTAGGTAAGATTATTACCCCAAACAGACTGCATCAGATATGGCTGCCTGTAGAAATAACTTAACTAGATTCAATAACCAGTATGGTTCCTTTGAGTAATACATTCCAAGCAGCTGACATGCATCCAGTTTCCTTGTATTTCTACAACAGAACAGGTTTCATGCAATTAGCTATAATATGTGGATGGCAGTTTGACTGGATTTCCCATTATGTAAAAATAGCCCAAATTCAGTCTGAGTACTCATCCATTCACAAACAAGGTGGAGTTTCTTTTACACTGTGTAGAACTAACACACCAGTAACTAAAATCGTGGAGTATTCTCAAATGGTTTAACTCTGTACCTAATTTATAACGTTTTCCACATAACCAAAATATCATTATGAAAAAATGTGTTGAACTCTATGTTCTCTGTAAACTTCAACAGAACTTTAGCAGTAAGAAAACAGTTATGAGGACAGCTATTCATCTGAGGGAATATCAAAAGCACTGACACTTCAAGTGAGACTGAAAATACCCAACGACTGAAAGGCAAATAAAGGTAAAAACTGCAGGTCTGGCTTAATCTGTCTTTCCTCTCTTCCGGCTGAGGACAAGAACAAGGATTTTAATACTTTTAATTCCTAGAAAAAGCAACTCAAATTTCAAGCTACATATGATGCCCTCTCCCAGGTACCAAGGCAAAGGAGCACTCACCTGCTTTTCTGCGTGATCTGCAGGCCAGCCCTGAACATGCTTTATAAGGTTCTCATTGAAGTGTGCTGCTAGCGTAGGTGTTAATGAACACGTGGGTCGTACAGATGGATTCTGTGGTGCAGGTGTTGAGTTGGATGCACTACTGCTAGAGGTATGATTTGGACCTGGTGATGGACTTCTTTGACTACTAGAAGAAACAATAACAAAAAGCAAGTGAGCTTTTAAAAACATATGTGAACCTATAGAGAAATGAACACTGAAAATTCATTGCCTCCAGACACAAAAATACATAAAGCATTCAAACCACAAGTAAATACTCCTGGAAGACCAAACCTGGGCCACCTTTCTACAAACCTCTAAATTTAATTGGAACTGAGTGCTACAATGTAACACAAGATTCTGTTATTTGGTAGGGTTTTGTGTTTGTCTGGTTTTTAACTCTGAGAGCTATTCAAGAGATGTAAGCTGTGCCTGAATGGTGCTGGATAGAAAATATACATATATTTATGTTCTTCCTTTGAACAGCTGCAAACCTAAGATTTTCAGTAATGATGTATCAGATGGAAGGCAAACACACTTATTCAAAAGAGGTTTGCCAGAATAATCATTAAGAACAATGTCTGATGTCCTGATCTGAAAATACAGCTGTATGGGATTTGAGGAGTTTAGTACTCATGTCAAAACACAATCTACATGGTTCTGTGACACTGCACATCTTTACTGAATGCACTCAGGAGAACAGAAGTATCACAGGAGCAGTGTGTTTGCAGCCACCAAACCTTGACTGCTTCACTGGAACACAGCATAACAGCGATGGTACCTCACAGTTAAATGTTCTTTGGCACTACACATACTGAGAAATAGTGGCATTAATTGTGTAAGTGTAACTCTCCCACTGGCAGAAGCTTTTCAACACAGGCCATAATTTCAGTCTACTTCTTAAAACTTCGTATAACTTGCAGGCAAGAAGAAAATATTATAAGGGAGAACTAAATTTTAAAGGACTTCTGATTCATCACCTAACCTGTTGGTCCCTTTGAATACTGAAAGCATCCTTACATAAGGCAACTATCGCTAGTCCAATACCCAGACATCTACCGTAATCAACTCACACTTGCAAAGAACTACAGCATTAAGAATTACAGCCAACAAACTGGATGTCTGACTGGACCTGCTGGAACAAAGCCAGAGAGTCACCAAGCTGACAAGAGGGATGAAGCACTTCTCCTGTAAAAAAGGCAATTCCTCCCCTCTTTTCAGAGCTTATGAGATTCACAGTATCTGGGGCACTGTGTAGTGGGAAGCCTAAAACAGGACAAGAATTAAACTGCTACAGCAAAGGAATGTGGCAGAGGACAAGGGGCTGAAGCACATGCTGCATCAGAAGAAGCTTAAAGTTTATTCAGTCTGGAAAACAGAAGACTGAGGGGAAGGGGATTGAGGGATCTTTTTGCAGATTTTTACTACTTTTGAGGAGAAAAGACTCTTCGGAGACGCACAGTGACAGCACAAGAGGCAGAGAGAAGCTGCAACAAGGGAAATTCTAATTAGACATGAGAAAAAAAGAATCACCATAAGGGCAGTCAAACATCAGAAGAAGATATTCTGAGATATTAAAAAAAGTCACCTAATGCCCTTAGCAATTCAAACTTGCCAGTCCTACTCTAAGTTGGGACCAAAGCAGACTGTAGCTAGAATTCCATTCCAAAGTAAATTATTCTAAGTTTCAATGAATTCATTTAGCATCAGCATAGTAATGGTGCAGAGTCAGGCTATTTTTAGTAATTAAGTAGAATTCAGGCATAACCTTATTTACTCCTTAGTTCTACTAGAATTAAATTTCCCTCTATGACTTGCCTCCTCTTAATTTATCAGCCTGTTTTCTCCCACTCCTACTTCATTAGTAAAACTCACTCGAACACATCAGAAATATTTCAAGAAAATAAATAAATAAAATCTGTGGGCTTCTCAAAAATGCAGCTTATTTACCTTAATTATGACAAAAACATACCGTCATAAAATATCCCCGGCACTGCTGTGTTAGCAGCAGGGGGAGCTATGAATGCAGCAATGACTGCTCCAAACTACCACAGCATTTTTAAATGCTTCACTGAAGGGAAATACTTGCTTTAGCTGAGTTCAAGACTGACTATGCCACAAGTAACAGAATGCCTCCAGAGAGGCAAAAATATCTGTATCAACGGTATTAAAACATGATGGTTCTGAAATATGTTATTACAAACGTCAAAATTTTACAACCTACAAAAAAAAGCAATGAAATACCTCCCTTCACAGCACTTCCCAAGGTAAAGGAAAATTTTTCTCAGTCCTTTCTGAAAACAGAGAGAAACTACCAACGTGATGAAACTATCAGCTATGGAAGCACTAATTTAGTTTCATATTTGAAGCAGCCATAATTCATTGTGTGTCTTTGGAATAATCTCTAACACACAGATTCACTGTATGTCTGCATTGTGTTAAGTTCCCAACTTAAATGGCTGAAATGTTCACTTCTTGAAAGTTCACAAAAGCTACTCAGGTTTTCTCACACTGTGTTTCCATCCCAACAAGTCAAAAATAATTTTATCTCCATTAACTTAAAACGTTTAACGAGCCAAGGAAACGCAGCTGTGATGAACTTCTGCTCAATTATTCAGCATTTAAGCTGGAGAAAAATGCAACCTTAATTCACAGAGTAAAAAGATTTTGGGCCATCTGTCCACAGTTCAGTTTGCTAAATTGTTGTTCACTCCTATAAAAGTAAAAACTGCTCCCAAGAGCCATTCCCAATCCAACCAAGTACTTTCACTTACAAAGGAATCATCTGTTCCCTATCAATTCAGACATACTGCCTGGACACAGCAAATCCTTTGCAGGTAAGTAAATCAGTATCTGAACTGGGGTGCACTTTCATTCAACTCCACTGCACTCAAGAGAAGAAAATACCAGTCACACAGGTTTTTCCAAGTCACCTATTCCTTAATCTCCCCCTTGCTGCAAACGAGACACTTCCACAGCAAACTGAAATCACATGAACTCACGATGCACAATGCAGCAGAGTCACAAACATGTATTAATTTCAGAGACACAGGACACTGAACAATACTAACACTGTCTCAGTACCTTCACCCTGGCCTGCACACTGCCTCCTGCCCTCAGCCACAGAGAGTGCTGCCTGCACAATGCCCCTGCTTCAGCAGGGCTGGGGCAAACTCAGCTTCCTCCAGCAAAACGCTGATGCCAAATGGAGCAATGGTTTGCAGAGGGACAGCAGATCCCTAAACTCACTGCAGGTAAGGGTCATGCTGGAGTACAAAGCCATGTAACCCAAAGGAAGGGTGAGGAATGGACTAGCAAGCCAAATGCCCATCAGTATCAACTCACACAGACTCTAACCATGGTGAAGGTTTCCAATAATAAGACCATCTTTCTTAAGATTTCCTGTGCAGAGAGGGTGACAAGCAAAGAATAAAAGGGTCTGTGACTGAGAGCTATCCCCCAAAACCTCACCACTCCTCATAAAAAAGCTCAGCATGCTGCAAGTCTAACTTTATCTTTGGTACTGTAATTCAGAAAGATTTACATAGCACCATTCATAATTACTAGGGGCTGGAGCTGGACACTTTGCCTTTATTCTCCTAAAAGAGATAAATGAGTTATAGGCTTGTAATCCAACAAAGCTTAGAATCAAGTGTCTGTAAAATAGCCTACACTAAAAACTCAAAACTTCTGACTTGCTTGTGTCTGTACCCTCAAACTGGTCAATACTCCAGGGTCTCCAGTAAAGCCAGCTTCTGGGACAGGACTGCCAAGCACACAACAGATAACCCAGTCTCCCAAAAAACCTCCAAATACACATCTCTTCCCCCAAGAAAACCAGCCAAAACCACAAAAAAACTCAAACAAACAAACAAAAAACCCACCAAAAAACAACAGCAACAAAAAAACAACTCAAAACCCAAACAAAAACCCAAACAAACAAACAGAAATAAACCCCACCACCAAACAAAAGTCTCCTTTGTTATTAGTCCCAGAAGGGCAGATAAAAGGATCTCACTATTTTATGATCTCGAAAACACCACCATGTGTAGCTTCAGGTATGCTGACAAAGCAAGAGTATTGGGTTTTGGTTTTTTTGTTTTTTTTTAATACCACACCACACACCTTATTCTAATCACTCTAAAAATCCAGCTACAATGAACTGTAGATTTACAGAACCTCTAAAAAAGTCAACTTCTTCCTACCACAGTTCTATACCATCACTCCATCACATATCTGACATCACTCATGACACATTTTTGATTACAGCCCCTGGAACCAATATGACTAAATGCAGAGTATATGACACTATGAAGAGTCCATCTTCCCACAAGGAAAATTTCAAAGATACAGATTCTAAATCCATCTTGTAAATCAATGGTTACATGTTGGTTTCATGCAACATCTTAATAAGTTGCAATGTCGACAAAAAAGTCTGGCCAAGGAAAGGTATTTGTGAAACTTACTTAATTCTAATGTTTTTCATTAAAGCAGCAAAATCACCTGACAAACCAAAAAATCATGCTAATTTCAAAATCAAATTACACTACAGCAAGACACTACAAACATCTAACACTAAGCATCACAGATTCTCTAACTGTACAGAGACAGAAACTTCAAACTCTGAAATCACAATCCAAGGAATCACTTAAAAAATTGACACCAGAGTGACAGAACACAACTGTGTTGCTTCTGTGAGAATGGTCTAACAATTACCCCAAAAATGGAGAATCTACCACATTAAATATGTAACAAAGGTACTTAGCTGCATCATCTCAGCAGCAGCAGTTCAATAAACTGGCCAAAGAGAATCCACTAACTGCAACACACACAACACACACTGAATGCAGATAAAATCTACTGACAGAACAGAGAAGCATTTCAATGTACCTCGAACGCTGAAGACTTCGTGGAGAGGCAGGTTCATGACCCGCCTGCTTGTCAGCTATTACTGGCTGCTGAGGTGCTGCCTGGGAAGCTGGTCCTTGTTTAACACCTGGAGTAGCAACCTGCGAAGTTCAAAACTTCATTAGAATTCCTCCACAGTAAAGAGCAAGTGTAAGAAACAGAAAAAATAAGGAAATTACAATTTCAACACCTGTAGGGTTTGTTTGTTACAAGGCCTTCTGCTGACACAATTTTCATTATCTTCACAAGGTGTTATTTTAAAAAAATTCTAGTTCCCCAGCTGTGCAGAAAGATTTTTTTTGTACTAAGAAGGGGTTATTAACAGACGTAACAGAAGCAAATTTAGACCCATGTGACTTGTCAAAATATTGCAAGCTTGTATTATCTTTGACTGTAAATTCCATCTGAGCACTGAGCTCATTTTCAACCTCAGAAGAGTTGTTCATCACCCAAATAAAATCTTCATGTATAAATTTAAGAGTTCCCTACTTGAAAATACATTACACAGTGTCAAGAACGTAATTATTTAATATGCATCACAAGCATATTAAAAACATCTCTATCAAAAATGGAAAAAAAATCTAAAGCATATTTATCAGTTTGCTGCTCTCTCTTCTCTAAGTTCTAAACTCACAGGTGACTACAAAAATAGTCATCAGAACTTTCTTGCTTTTCCCTTGTAGCACACATTCACTGCATGGTATTAAGATACCAGCAGTAAGATATACAGTCTTTTCTATGAATTTCTCAACTTCATCAGGATGAGAAGTTTGGGAATCTAGTAATGTCTAATTTTCAGCAAATGAAGTCCAAGATATTTCATCTCGCCCAATGCTTTGCATACCAATTCTGAAATACGTACAAGACAGGCTGAGCTTCAAAATTTATCCTCTACTTCCCAAAGTTAAGCTAACAATATTGAGAGAAAAGGGAGAGAGCAAAGAAAAAATGGCTTCTAGGGATCCATAAAGACAAAAAAGCTAAATTGTCCAGCCTCTCTGGCATTTGCTGACTTCACATTAGTGTAGATTACTAACTAGTGGTCTCCTGAACTTCCAGAAATTCTCTACTTCAGAAACTATGACTTCTATGAAACAAACCACAGATGGTAAAATAAACTCAAGACATAACTTGATTCATTTAAATATGCAGGGGGGAGTCTTAATGTAAATTCAAACTCTTAAATGTCTAAGAGGAAAAGCCACCTTTTAAAATTATCATCAAAATGAAAATGTGTTCTTTCTGGTTTTTAGACTAACAGGCATATACTAAAGAAGTCTGAGTAGCACATGAGAAGTCCATGGTACTAAAAGGGAAAAGCAAGATAACTGTAAGATCAATCTGCTGTTAAATAAACAGAACTAGATCGTTCAGGAGGGTGACACAGTAGCAGATCATGAACTGATTTATGAGAACAGACTACACAACTACCTTTATGAAATGTATGACATCAAGAACTTTGCTATTAATGCCTGCATTTTGCTCAGTGTGTGAGCAGACATTAAATCATCAAGGCTGCTCAAACAGAACCATTTCAAAAAGAGAAGCCCATCAGCAATAAAGGAATCATGCAGCAGATCCAAACTGCTGAAGTAACCAGCTCCTTGGCTCATAACAATAACCAAAAAATGGACCATAAAGAAAAAGTGGGATTTGTAAAACAAATTAACCACAAAACCTTTCAATTACTCCATGTTCTCCCAAGTGTTTCAAAGACTTCAAATATATATACCATAAACAGAAAAATAGTAAGGGCTAAATAAATTCAAAAAAACAAACCAACCAACCAACCAAAAGCAACATTCTCACTGAGCCTGACAAGTCTGTGTAAAGTGCTTTACACAACTACTTTGCAGAAATTCAGAACAGTTTCTGACCACACAATGCAGGCACAGCTAAAAGGCAAAGTCTGTGCCCCCTGAGCTGCCACATGCACACAACACCCCAAAGGCAGCCACAGCAGCTTCATTCTGAAATCAGTGCTGACATGTTCAAGCAGTCCTAAGCAACAGCACTGTGCCAACAGTACCACTGCAGTCCCACAGCCAGCTCAAATCCCTGTGCCTCTGGCACTGACTGGGCTCTTCTTGCACAGGGCCCCTTCAGTTTTGTCTGCTCTAAGCCCATGTGCTCTAAAACCAAGTGTGTCCTGGCACACACCACATCTTGATTAGGCATAATTCACCTCAAACTGTACAAGTGGACAAGCTAGCCTGACTCACACACCCAATGGGCTGCTAAAGCAGACGTGCTCACACCAGAACTATCACCACCTAAGCTCTCATCTCATGGAACTGAGTTACACAAATACAAAAACTATCAAGACAGTCCTTTTCTTTATTGAACTGGAAAAGTATCTGCTGCAGAAAAAAAAAATGTTACTTCTGGGACTAACAATCAATCTCTGGGTTGTAGAGACCGGAAAAGATCTACTTCCAGTTATCAACAGTACACAACTTAGATTCTTTTTCATATCTCAGGATTTGGAAGTATCAAATATGTCAACCTTGGTATTTGATAATTTCATTACTTGCCACCTAGCTATGGGATGAGAACATAAATTGAGGATGCAATCCAGGGTCAGAAACCAAGGTAACAATCAGTACTGGTACACACATGAAGCTTTGCAATTCATTGTATCACTGTCAATCAAAAGAAACTGGGAGAATCACTTGGTTTTCTTTGTACCCATAAAAAAAATCTGATGAAAGAAAATAAGGCATTTTGAATATAATGAGGAATGCAATGTGTTTTCCCGAAAAGTATTCCTCAAAGGCATCCAAGACATTAGAGGTTCACTTGTGAGCAGAAAACTGAGAAAAAGACACCTCAGCTAAGCAAGAGTGGTGATAGAGAAGATAGATTTTAGGAAGGTGGGGGTTTCTCAGGAAGAACATCAGGAACTTGTATGTTAGCTTCAATTTACATTTCCCAGTCACTGATCCAATGAAGGAATACTGAATGAAGAGAGGTGAGGGGGCAGGAAGGGAAAGGGACATTATGTTATTGATCTGTAAACACCTGGAACATTTCTACACAATATCTGAGACTACTTCAAGTTAATTTCCCCAAGAAGTTTTCTCTCATTCTAAACATCTTTTATTGGGTAAGTCTAAATAATTGTATCAGTTGTTGCCACTGGAGTATGCTTTTGTTGCTATTTAAATATGCTAGAATACCAATGCCTTGGTAAAATCTCCAGACAGCATCTGAGGCCAGCATTAAAATTTCCTCAAGAAAAGTAAACTAGATTTCATGCTGGAGTTGAACTGCCAAAAAATACAGTCAAGTAGTTGCTTCCAGTTGTTTGTTTCTATTGGGAAAGATAACATAGATATTTTATTATCCTACACACAACTGTTAGCACATGGATCTATAGGAACAATATTTAATGTTATGTATAATGATTTCTTACTGCAATATGGCATAAGGCAAAAGGAGCTCACCTTCTGCTGGGATGATACTGGTGGCGTAGTCATCAAAGGTTTCAGTGGAACAGTGTTAGTCTGCGGCGTGCTTATCCTTGGAGACACGTATGATCTTGGTGATGAGGCATCAGATGTTAAAGACATTGGAGACTGATTAGATGGCTGAGCTGTACAGAAAAGAAAAATGCTTTTAATAAAACCATATCCTATCATAAATGCAAATTAAATTTTCTCTGGGTACTCTGGAGTATGCTATATTAGATGACATACAAACATGCTCACTGTGAACAACTAGAACAATCTAATGCTCAACAACAATCTTAGCTAAGGAACTGTATTTCTCCCAAACTCCCCACTTCTAAAATTTCAGGGGAGGGGAAAGGGAACAAGCTATTAGGAAATGTTTTTTACAGATAAAGTGACTTAATCACATGCAACTCCTATTTTAGAATGCTCAACTTGTTTTAACCAAAAGAAAGCGTAACAGTTTATACAGAAACCTATTAATCCATTCTAGGCATATACCAACAGCTCCCCACCCATGGTTAAAAATTACCATTAGCACTGCTTACCTACTCAGTAAGATGACTGCATTTATTGTTTTGGTTTAAGTTTCTAAACTTAAGTTTTAAAGTTCTTTATTAAGTTACAAGCCAGAACATATTGGAAATATCTGAAAGAGTATCTTGCCTAGAAGATGAAAAAAAAAGCCCCCACGAGAGAGAGGAAACTTTCTTTTAAGAATTTAAAGCCTCCCGCAAGAGTCACAGTTGCACAGTACTACAAGATGGGTGTTGAAGTAAGGAAGAGTTGTGTTTTATACTGTTAACTTACACCTAATTCCAGAAGTTTCACATTACTCATGTAGAATTTCTTAACATACAAAGAAAATCCCAGAAGGTGAGGCAGAAAGGCATCTTTACTTAGTAGCGTGCCAGGTTCCTGCCCCTCAATAACAATTTTTTATCCTATCTTTGGAAAAAAAAGTCATTTCACATTCTCCACATCGTGTGGCCAAAGATATGACGTGAGACAGATTCCACAACTGTATCAGCCTTTTTAAAATACTGTGTAACAAATTTACATAAGTGAAAAAAAAAAACCAACTCTGAATACCTTGCGTAGACAGTTGTGCAGCTTGAGAAATTAGGGAGGTGATATTGAAAGCAGATGGTCCAGCAGTAAGAATTTTATGGAGTATAGACTGCAGAGAGGCTTGTGTCACAGCTGCTGTTAGAACTGAAAACAAACATTCTGTTTTACTGACAATTCTAGAACACCACTTTAAACTGTTGAAACTGGCTAATTACATTTAAGGTATGTTTTCTTTCAGATTTATTTCCCGTATCTACCATGACCAAAGATCCACCTCAACTGTTCTTCAGTTACTTGATTTCAAGTTGACTTGGAATGTCTAGCAAGTCCTTTCTTTAGTAGTTTTAAGACATACATTTAACAAAAATTCTTTAAAAAAATAAAGTCAAATCTTCCAGTTGACCGTACGGATTAGTAATAATTCTTGTAAATTTGTCCAATTTGCTACTGTAATAAGCAGAACGTGTGTGAAGATTTTTTTATACTACAATAATTTTTTAAAAAAGCAAAAAGCAGAATCACTTCAACTCACTGAAAGAGATGAGGGCCAGACTTAATGTTCAAGAGGAAGACAAATGTCTTCCAGGTTAAAAATCCATGTTTCTTCTTACTAATAAAAAGCCCTTATCTCTTCTGGGTTTAGCCGTCCCATGTCATCCCCCCACCGATAAAAAAAAAAATCACTTTAAACCATTTTAAAACTGCACAATACAGGAAGAGCATCTTGCAGTATGAGATGACAAAGTCCCTGAACTCTGAGCTTCTGAACTAACCTTTCCAAAAAGGTCTACAGGCTCTGTGGGACACTTCCTGGACATGCCTTCCAGCACACTCCTGCAAAAACTGACTCACCAGCAAAGCACAGAGTAACTGAATTGTGTGCACAGTAAGGGCAGCCCTGCTGTGCAAGGTGAAATCACTCTGCCCACGTGGACACAGCCAGGCCCTCATGCCATCAGAGCAATTCTGAACACTCTTGTTCCAAGACATACACAGCTGCTGCTCATATGGCTAGAGAAAATTACTAGAAATTTCACTGGGCAGCTTTTTAATAAAATACAACTGGAGTTGAGTGGACCTTTCATTTTTCAACACAGCCATAACACCTCTTTTTTCAGTCCAACCTAGTGGATTACAGTTTCAAAGACTTTCCCTGCACAGGAAAAAGAAACCAGTGACCTACTCACTTATTAGTACTGAATGAAGACAGAATATTTGCTGATTAAAAGGAAGCAACTGACCACTTTTTCTGATGAATAATTGCAAGGTATAGAATACTTTGTAAGCATTTTCCCTTACTTGATTTGCACTTTCAGAAAGTTAAAGACAATTAACTCTCAGCACTTCATGCAAATGTTTTACTTCCTATTTAAATCAGTGATCCTTGCACAAGAAGCAAACAAAAAATCCTACACCACTTTATCAGTAACCTGTCACATGCAGACACATTAGACAAAACAGCATTCAAAATGCATCAACTCTCTACCTGCTCTTGCAGCAAAAGACACTATAGCTAAGTGATAAACTGACTACTAACAACCTAAGCCAATGTAACAAAAATCTAAGGGACACACTGATTAAATGTACAACATTTCACTGGCTAGCAAAGTTACTGATACGCTACCTGTATTCAGAGAAGCTTTCTTTGTTATGCTAAAGAGAAAAGTTGTTAGGCAACAAGATTTAAGAACCACTAGAAGTTTCACTATTTGCAACACACGTTAACAGAACAGCAGCACAAACTACAGAAAACAAAGAGCAGTGCACGAAACAAAAGAACAAAGAGCTCTAACGAAATTTTGCGCAACAGACAAATGCTGATATAGTGATTAAGTCACCATGTTCAATTACACTGCTCATGTACATCAACATCTATTAATTTGAAAACCTTAAATGTTGAGAAGGTTTAACAGGAAAAAAAAACCCACAAAAAACTCCACTTTACCTAGGGATTAATTTATTCACTTCTCAATAAAAATAAGGCTTTCATTTACTACAGCCTGGTATGCAATAATACACTAATGTATGTAAATGAGAGATCACATGAACATTGAAGAATCCTTACCTTCATTGATTTTGGATATATCTACGCTAGAATTATTAAGCTGCAAGGTGGCTTGCAGAGCAGGCAGCAGCTGTCGAAGGAGATTTGGGTCCTGAAGTAATGGAGGAATTGGTGATTGTGGGATAGGTGAAACAGGAACTGTAGGAGCAGATGAAGCAGGCGCAGAAGTTGGATTCAGTCCAGAAGCAGAAGATGTAGAAGGAGTTGTGCAAGAATGGGATACAGACTTGTCCACAGATGCAGACTCTGAACAGAAGACAGACAGTATTTTTCATTTTCCCCAATACAACCTGACAACTCACTAGTACAACACTCAAATTCAGAAGATCAAATGCCTAACTACCATTTTAAGAAAAAAACTCACAACATTAATAGAACAAAAATTGAAGACAGCTGATTTCTAATGCAGTTTACACTACTGAACCTAATATTTATCATGAGCACACAAATGCAACTTTTCCACTTCAAGATACTGGATGAAAAGCAGCCAGTATTAAAAATGGGACATTTTTTTCCTTAACTTTTATGGCAAATGTGGGCCAAAAATTCCTTACTGATCACCTACATTCATATTCTACACTTTTTCTTATGATCTCAATCTTTCTTTGGAAAATATACTATGAAGAAAAACCTTATAGCCCATGGATTCTGCATATAGGCAACTGTGTCAAATTTGACAGGAGGGTATAAGCCATGATTCATTTATGAAGAGACCAGTGCAAGAAGCCACAAATATAAGTCTATTGTACAAAATCCAGCTACACTGCTGAGGATTTAGAAAGGATAACAAGCTGTACTAGAAATGTAAAACAGTGCTGTTGACATTCCCACAGCAGAGTGGAAAAATATCTAAAATGTGTCTGCCCATAATTAATTTTTAACTTGTCAGCTTCTTCTGAAGCATTAAGACTGATATCCTTTATTTCATTATTACGATTTTAGGAAATATACCACTGATTCTCCAGAGAAACAAATAGTACTTAAATACAATGATACTATTTGGCAATTTGTTCTGATTAATATGAGTTAATTGATTTTAAATATGACTTCTACTTAACAGAAAGCTGCTCCTCTGTTCCAATACAGTGAGAAATCTCTGCAGTGGAAGTATTTCAACTTACAACAGGTGTGCCATCAGTCACTTCAAATATCCTTCCTTTAAGAAACCTGGACCACCATATTTCAATCTGAGCTCCTCCTTCTGTCATCCTCATTAAACCCTCAGAGACCCCTGCCCATACAATCAGTCAAGACTAATGCACCTATAGCACCAAAGAAGTTGGATGCAGAGCATAAAGCAATGGATCCAAGATCTCATGCAGGGTGTTTGCCCACAGTAATGAAGATCCAGATTTTAAACCCACCTCAAACCGGGCAGAGAAGGTCAACCTGGATATTCTACATTTCGGGCAAAATTCTAGAAGTTTTTCCCAAAAGTAGGGAAAAACTGGCTGGGAAGTTCTTTTACTTTAAGGGTGTGCTTGGTTTTTTTATTTGGAGAAACGGTCAAAGTAAGATGATGCTGACTTTATTAGTAAAGAAGTGATATGGTCTGGTTTCTTTTACTACAGAAGAATAAAATGTCACAGAATTTCTAACAGCTTTTGTATTCCAGTAACTTTAACTTCAACTTCCAAGACTAATTTGGAGAAGAACCCTAAAAAAACAAACAAAAAATTACAGAAGTAACATTGTGCAAATCTTTTCACTAAGATTTCTAATCTCACTGGCAAGAGGATTCCTGCTTCTATGCTGTTATAGTATAAATAGCTTATAAAGGTCACAAATACTCCAGAAAACTTTTTCCAGACAAGCAGCTGAGAAATCTGAACCAGAAAAAAATACTGCTGAAGAATTTGAAAGCCTGCAAGGATGCAACAGCCAGGACACAGAGACATATTTTGGAGTTTCAGGCAAACTTCTGGAAAAGATGTGCCCCTATCTAGTTACAATCTCCTCAGGGTTGGTAGCAATGTATCTCTGAAGGGACATGGTAATTTCACCAGGAGCTTTGGTAAGAACAACTTAAAAAGGGACAAAGAGGTTACAAAGACTGAAGATGGGAAAAAAAGAATAAAGTCTCTGTAGGGTTTTCAGTAACATGTGAACTAGGACAGCTGATTAGGTATCAGTTACCATAAAACACTAAGTCATTAGTAAAAGTTTTTGTTATAAAGTAAAGTTCAAAGTAAACATTAAGACAACTTCAGGTCAAGACATATCCAACAAACAAGAATCTTATTATACTAAACAAAAACATGTGAACTTGGATCTGTCACAGTTCAAATAAGATCAAGATACACTGGCACACAAAAGCAAGGGAAATAAGCACAATGGAGCACATTAGTACTTACATGTACAAGCCTGCTACCTACAGTTTTGAAAACCTTACCAGAAAAACAACCATTAAAACACCTTCATTTCAAAATGAAAAAATACTGCAACTGCCAGCACTAATTTTAAAACATATTTAATGCATTTAGGCTTGTCTTCAGAGTTAAATATTAAGTTATTTTAAGTAAAGAATCAACTCACTACTGTATTATTTATTCATGTAAGCAAATACCTGATCCTCAAACCGCACCGCCATACCAAACAGCTGGAAGTGCTTTTCACCCATGCAGTTCTGAACAGAAAATACACTGAAGCAAAGGCAAACTCAAGCTAACAACGCAGTTAAAATAAACCTTATACCCACCCAGTCCTGGGTATTCACTTATTTGTTGAATAACAGAACTCAAAACATGTCACTCAAAACCACTGAGGTCTGTAAAACTACGTTAGTTTGAGTTTTTATGCTCTAAAAATGCACACTGAATTGCATCAACACAGTACAGTCAAGTTATTTCTTTCAGACAATATGGAGACATTATTTCACATAGCTGTATTACTTCAAGTATTTTAAGTATAAGTTAAAATGTAAGTGTAAAAGGTATTTTTGTACAATCATCCTATCAAAAGTAGAGAAGATACAAAGCAAGGGTAACACCTAATGCTAACACTCCGATATTCTGAGATGTTTAGCAACTCAAAATCAAATCACTAAATGTTATAAAAGAATACATCTTTATGATTATGACTACCTACATGTACATCACATCAGAATTGCTACTTAACATCACAGAGGATGCAGAATAAAATGACTGTTCAGAGCATCACTGCATTACACAAATTAATTTATTATTAATGAAATTTAAGCTATAAACCTGTTTCTGCCAATTAAAAAAAAAAAAAAAAAACCAAAACAAATCTGTAAAAATATCTGTAGAAATTCAAGTATTTCTTGTCTGTATTAAGTAACTGTGCTAGTTCTGGCCAGGACAAGGTTAATTTTTGGAGTAGCCAGAGGAGATGGGTTCTTCTATGCCACCTCACTTTGCTACCAGAGGCAGAGGTAAGGGAGTTTTTCCAGTCAGTGTAGGGTGAATTGTTTCTCTTGTACACCCTTTTATTAATATTGTTGTTGTTAGTGTTCATTTCTTATTGCTGATTCCAGTAAATTTTTCGTATCTCAATCTGCAATCTTTTCCTTTTGTGCCTCCAATTCTCTCCGTCTGTCACAGGAGAGAGGGAGGAAGCAGTGAATGAACAGGGCATGGGCAACACCACTCATAAACCTCAAGAGCTTTATTTGGCACCCAAAGGGTTGAGATAACCAGATCTGACCAGAGTGGTTTGAAACAAATTTGATTTAAGCATTTGTTGTACTGGGCAGGGAGTCAACAGCCACAAAGTTGTTTGGTCTGTTCACATGGCTGTGGCACACAACCCTGTGTATATTCCTGTATACACCCTGTGTGCCCACCACGGTACCTCTTCATAGCAGGGAGAGAGAGAGATCAGGATTGCTGTGTTGCTGCACTGTGGGAGACCAGTTTATGGCATGTGGGGGGCCATGAGGATCATTTGGGATGTGTGCTCAGTAATGCTCTTTTATCCTTCCTTTGGGGCCTACCTCTGGGAGTCCATTAAATTTACCTAGGCTGTGGGGGAACAGGGGCAGGTAATTTTCCTCAGCTTTTTATGCCCTTTGTCACTTTCAGGCCTATTAAACCAGCTTTTGAGAATTCTGGAATTTCCTTGGGCCTATTGAGACAGAAGATGTGAAAAATGCTCTACACTGCAATCAGGGAGAATGGTCCTTCCTGGAGTGTCTGGTAAAAGTACCTGGGGAGACACAAGGATAACCCCTGGAGTTCTGGAATTGGGATACAAAAGATTTGAGGCCTGCTACATCCCAACTGAAAAAAAGATACTGGCAACTTATGAGGGGGTTCAAGCTGCTTCAGAAGTGATTGGCACCGAAGTACAGCTGTTCCTGGCATCCTGACTGCCACTGCTGGGCTGGATGTGCCAGGGAGAAATCCCTTCCACACCTGATGCCACGTGGAGCAATTGGGTCATCCTGGTTACACAGCAAACTAAAACATGAAACCCCAATCGCCCTTGGATCTTGGAAGTCATCACTAACTGGCCCAAAGATGAAAATTTTGAACTATCATAATCATCAGAGGAGGAGAAGGTGACATGTGCTGAGGAGACCTTACCATATAACCAGCTACTACCAAATGAAAAGTGATAGTGTCTTCACTGATGGCTCCTGTTGTGTTGTAGGGACACACTGAAAATGGAAAGCTGCTGGACTCCTATGAGGCAAGCCACAGAAGCTATTGAGGGACAAGGTGGATCAAGTCAGGTTGTACAGCTGAAAGCCATCCAGCTGGCTTTAGGAATCACTGAATGAGACAAAATGGCCAACACTCTACCTCTACAACGAGTCACAGACAGTTGCAAATGCTCTATGAAGATGGCTGGACTGATGGAAAAAGACCAATTGGCACCAGAGAGGGAAAACCATCTGGGCTGCTGTACAGTGGCAAGACATAATTGCTTGGGTAGGGAAGTTGACTGTGAAAGTCTGTCATGCAGATGCTCTCTGCACCTGAGAGTTGGGCTACTGAGGAACACCCCAACAACAGAGGGGTGACCAAGCTGCCAAGCTTAAAGTGTCTCAGATGCATCTGGACTGGCAACGTAAGGGTGAATTTTTTATTTCTGTTCAGTGGGCTCATGGCACCTCACATCATCAGGAAAGAGATGCAACACACTGACAGGCTCACAACTGAGGGCTGGGTTTAACCATGGACAGTATCTCACATGTTATCCACAACTGCAAACCAAACACTGCAGTCAAGCAGACCAAGTGGGTGAAGCCCCTGCTGTACGATGGACGATGGTGAGAAGTA